GTTTGTTGTTCGAAGTAAACTCATTACTTTCTTGCGTAGATATCTTGACAATCTGGGATTCTTGGAGGTAAGCCTTTTGCAGCTTACCTACTCTTGTTAGTAATGATTTGAAGTGTTTGTTGGTCAGGTCGAAACCCCCATAATGAACCAAATTGCTGGTGGCGCCACTGCGAAACCGTTTGTCACGCATCACAATGAACTCGACATGGATCTGTTCCTTAGAGTCGCACCCGAACTTTACCACAAGGTGAGTAGTTGTTTACAACATTGTTATAAACAAGATTAAATTGTTTGTTCAGATGCTTGTTGTTGGTGGGATTGATCGAGTTTATGAGGTTGGACGACTGTTCCGTAATGAGGGCATCGACATGACTCATAATCCTGAATTCACAACTTGCGAGTTTTATATGGCATACGCTGATTATGAGGATCTTATCCGACTAACAGAGGATCTTCTGAGCAGTGCGTTTCTTTCCAAACTTCACTACCAGTTTTTTTATCTTTATATGTGCCCAAATTCTTCTAATGGTTGAATAGCTTGTGTTGTGGATATCTGACTTATAATTCCTCAAGAAATTTATTTTGATGCTTTAGAGTAGGCATTCCTTGTTTGCATTTATTATTAGGATTTTTTTGTATGCCGTAAGAGTATCATCTTCATTGGATTATGTTCTGAAACTTTGAGAAAGATTTTCTAAACAAAAGATGTAACCTTTTCGCCTTTTTTTTTAAACCATAATATTATTCAATGCATTGTTGAAGCGACAGCATTCAATTTCGAATGTCTTTCAAGACCTATCACAACACTTGATTCGTTCTGGTCTTTCATATCTGACATAACTATTATAACTATTTAACCATTCTATAATTTCGTATTTTTTGAGCTTGGGAGCAGCTTATTTGTAAGTGCTTTTGGTTCTCTTGAATAATCTTGAATAGTTTTGGTGAAAGTGCTTCTGTGTAGGGAAAGTGATAAGATTGGTCCATGACCTTATGATTGTTCTATGCTGTTTTTAGAAATGGTAATGTTCATTCATGGAACATACAAGATTCAATATCATCCCAACGGGCCTGGAACGGAGCCTGTAATGGAGGCGAGCTTTAAAGTCATTGTAAAATAAATATATTGCAACGATAAAATCTGTTTTAGGTTGATTTTACACCACCATTCAAGCGTGTCAATATGTATGAAGGATTAGAAAAAGCACTGGGCGTTAAACTGCCGTCTCCTGATACCCTAAAAACTGAGGGCGAGTTATCTATTTTACATTCCATCTCAAATAACGTATTGTTCTTTTAGAATCTCGCCAGTTCTTCGACAAGCTGTGCCGTGAAAGGAATGTTGAGTGCGTAGAACCACGCACTACAGCTCGTCTTTTGGATAAATTGGTCGGCGAATTCCTCGAAAGCACATTCGTTTCACCTACCTTCCTCATTGGACATCCACAAATCATGAGCCCTCTTGCAAAGTGGCATAGGTATGCAGCTGCTGCCCAGATTTAGGAGACTTTGGTAGTTCCAATAAATTTATGGTTTTTTAGATCAGTTCCTGGCCTTACGGAAAGGTTTGAATTGTTTGCTGTTACGAGAGAAATTGCCAATGCTTACACTGAATTGAATGATCCCATTAGACAACGACAAAGTTTTGAACAGCAGGCTGCTGTAAGTGTTTTTCAATA